AATTTCTTGTGTGTCACAGAAATTTACAAAGTAACAGGTGTTTTTTTTTTATTAATTAACTATAGAAGAAACTATTTATTTACATGTATATATAAGATGATTATATCATATTTGATTAAAGTTGTGGGTTTATTGCAACACTGACATATCTTTATATTTTATGATATTTGTGTTACAGCATTCATGCACTGAAATCTTAATCTATTGTAATTACACATCTTAAATTAAGTATAAGTTTGTCATTAAAGGTACTGTAATTAATTATCAGATGACTAGAAATTTTGAGAAGATTTTTTTCCTGTACATGAATGAAGAATTGGTCACCGACCAACGGAACGAATTGTGTTGAATTGTAAGGAAATGCACAAATAAGGTTTTAAAAAAATTTTGTAATTGGAATTACATTTTATACAAAATGGCATCATCAGATTTGGAGTTTCCAATTTGTTCAGGAAGGTAGTTATGTTTCGTTTTTAATTGATTTGTTTTCATTTGTTTTTGTTTTGTTATATAGTTTTTTATGTAACAATGTACCATAATTGCCTTGCACATATGACATTATCGACGAAAGCATCTTTATATTTAGTTTATCAAATAAATATGTAGTTTTAATTAGAATTGTTCAAATAATGTTTCCTAGAAATTTTAAAGAGATTCTAGCAATCCAAATTGGATATTTATGTTTGTTTTTTTCACACTTTAAATATGAAACTAATAACATCTGCAATATTTACAGAAACACTGAAAATAAGGTGTTTTGTTTGAAATACATAATTTTCACTTATTTATACAAGCTTTATGTTGTCAGCTTAGTGCAGTAACGGGTTAACTCCTGTTAAATTATATATTAAATAAGTTAACCCACTACTGCACTAAGGTGATGATATGTTTTATCATAAATATTTATAAGTTTGAACTTTCATGATTTGCTATCAGTGCCTGATTGTATAAATGATAAATGTTAATAACTTTTAGTTTAAAGATAATTAATTATTAAAGCTTGATTGCTAAACATATTCTTGCAACTTATTTTAATCACTTTTGAGTCCTTTTCCTGGAACCAACCAGTACTAGTGTCATATAAAGAAACATGGTCATGACCCGAGTAGGGCTTGAACCCATGATGATCCCTAATAACGTTAATGAGTTTCTTTCATGGAGTATGGCCATTTTATCCCTACTTTTTATTATAAAAAAAAGAACATAAATATGAAAAAAATCGCAACTTTGTCATAATTTTGGTAGGAAATTGCACTAAATTTTGCTGAAAGATTGAGGCAGTAGAAAGCCTGCCAGTTTTGGCATCAATAATACCTCGTCTCTTATGGAAATGAAAATTTAAAGTTAGTAAGCCAGTAGTATAGAGCCTGTTCAGACTACACAGTCATGCCAGGCTGGCCTGGCTCAACTAGGCTAATCACTTTTGTGGCTCTCCAGTAGGTTAAAGGTCAAGATACATGTACCTCTTTAAGTTCCTGGTTAGATGAATTTGAAAGATAACAATATACATGTATACTATATCTACATTCTTGAGGTGGCAACCTCATGCTTCATGCTGATTAGAAATTAGCAATTAGTAAAATAATGTAGGACGTTGTATTTAGGGTAGAGATAAGGCAACCTATCTTGATAGTTATTTCAAAGTTTGTTTGTCCGAGTAGTTAATATTTGTTCATTCAGTATTTCACTATTTGGAATGTGTTAAAATTCAGTAAAAAAAAATTTAACATTATTTTGGATTTATTTTTGTAATGGCTACTCCAGAATTATATCATCGAGAAAGGTAGTCAAGTTTTTTATGTATGTTGGTTTGTTTTTTGTTTTGTTTATCATGTGGAATTAATCTTTATTTAAGACAATAAAAATAATGTTCAGTTCAAACTGGGCTTTAAATGCCAAATCATACTGTAATAATTTCAAAACTTACATTTTAATGTTTTTAACAAAGATTTTCTGAATAAGAGTTACATAAGAAAACAGAATAAAACATTTTCCTAACAACATAATATTCAACTGATATTTCAGTAGGTGAAGCCAGGTTTTCATAGTATGCACTATTTACACACTAATCAGAAATGTACTTTCAATTAATTCTTTCCATTAAGGGTACATTTAGTGTGATTTTTAACAAAATACAAGCAAAGATTATTATTCTATTAATTACAGACAATCCAATTTCTACCTCATTAATATTCGTAATTAATTTGCAAATGAGTTAATAAAAAAGCTTATTTTAATAAAAAAAAGTGATACATTATTTTGTAATTGAATTGATGCTAAATGATTTCTATGAGAATTAAAGATATTCAAGATTTTTTTTCATAATCAAGCACTTTTAAAGCACTTTAATGTACACCCTCAATTCAAGCACTTTTTAAGACTATGATTGTTATAAAGCACTTTTCAAAACATAGTTTGACTTCAAGCACTTCTTAAGACTCTGATTGATATTTTCAAGCACTTTTTAAGACACAGATTGTTTTCAAGCACTTTTCAAGATTCAGATTGATCTTTTCAAGCACTTTTAAGACTCAGACTGTTTTCCTATACGCAGTGATCTCCCCTTATCAGTACAGAGATCTCTACCATCACAAACATTAAATATCAATATTTTAATATTTTATATTTTTTAGCTTTTTGATTTATTTTTCATTAATTTGTATACTTTTGATAATTTTTTGATAAAATATAATGGACGAAGGTACGAAAAGTTAAAAATGAAAAAGAAAGAGAAAAATGACGTTAGATTTTCTATAACGGTCATATTTACATTTGAATTTCGACGTTACATCTTGTTACTTTCATTATCATGTGACTTCTGTGAAGGCATTGGTGACTTCTGAGAAGGCAGTGATTACAATTCTGCCAAGGGAGGTAATCACTGTGAGGAGTTTGACTGTTTTCAAGAACTTTTCAAGACTTGTACGAGTTGTATATTATAACTGACAGCAAAGGAATACTCCTGATCAGTTATAAGATCAGTACATTAGTCAAATTTTAAATGATGTTACTCTTCACAGTCAGTTGTATTAGTCAGGTCAGGATTAGTAGATCTGATCTATATACTTTAACCTGAGTCATACATAGGTTTGAACATTAATTACTGTAAGATTTTCATGCAAAGCTAGTTTAGGCTATATGTTCAAAGGTTTTGGGTTTTTCCTCTTCATTTTGTACACTTGTGTATATAATAATGATTCACAGGTGGTCTTCCTAGAGAAACTTTTCTTTAGGTAACTCATCATAAAATGCTTACACTCAAAGAACTCTGGTATGATAATTAGCAGTTATAATATGATAGAAAAAAAGCATTACACTAAAAATATATACAAACAATATACTAATTCTTCTGTTGTTATAATTATATGATTCCTTTCCTGACTGCATAATCTGGAACACAGTTTCGTAATTGTTTACCTGGAAAAGAAATAAATTGCAGGTGTTTTGGCATAGAGTATTGTATTGTTAACCAATTTCAATATACCCTGTATTTCTAAAATTTTTATAGTATCATGATTAAAAATGAAAACATTCAAACATGTGTGGTATAAAGGTTAAATGAAAGATATCTTGTTAAAAAAAATTGAAAATTTGCTTGGAATTCAGAAAGATATGTAGATGCCAAAATATGTTTTGATTTTGTAGCTTTTCTGGGAAATTTCTTGGATGATTTTAAATAGCAGCTTGTTGTAAGAATTGTCTACAGATTAATCACATTCTGTATGAAATTATGTATGACTCTTGTGTGTTAAAAATAAAGCTTAGCAACCCAAAAAATGAGTGGATGTCTGTTTTGGGTTGTTTTTATTGGCCATGATTATAGTTTTCAAGAGATGTTATTATAGTTTTAATTATAGATGATGAATTATAGATTATCAAAGAATTTTTACCTGCTTGTTTTTGTTGATGATAGAAGGTTGATATAATATTGACATTTAAATTCCTACAAGACAGAATATAGAAAATCATTATTTATTTTAAGAAGTTTGACATTTAATAACAACCCTTGTAAACCTTTTAAGTTAAAAATTTTCTTACCACATACAGTTTTGATGTTGAAATACTATCTTAGTTAATACAATGTTGGTATTTATAATGTATTACTGCAAAATTATTATTATTCTTAGGGCATTAATTTTTGAGGTTTTTGTGGATAGGTCTATTCACGAATTTAAGATCCATTGTCTGATGTAAGTTTATTTTGTGTAAATTAAAGTACCCACGAAAATGCCCAGAAATTAAGTGAATTCACAGTGTTACATACAGAACTGTTTTCTTAAAAATTTGATTAAGAATGTAAAACACAAACCAATCACATTACTTATTACAATTAAGAGTGTATTTAGGAGTGTGCTTGGCAGTCAACTCTTCAGGGTGGAAGGTTGTTTTTAATCTGTCTCTAGTTTAATGGTTGTAAGCCAAGTTGCCAAGTATGGTATAATTATGCCTTATTAGCAGCAATGATGTTAGAAATGTTGACATTTTTAAATGTCGCCAACTTATTGCATGCAAGTTAATATCTCAGAAACTACTGAAAGGAATTGGTTGAACTTCAGTCACTTGTTCTCTGTGATTTTGTAATATAATGTGCACTGGTCTCATAACTCTGAGTTAGTTTGTTACAGAGTAATACCCCTATTCTTACAGTCAAGCATAGAGAATTTGTGAGCACTCTGTCTGAAGGACAGATCTTGTTGTTGTTTATGTTTTTCTGTGAAGATTGTAAAAATGCCATTTGTCCTCTGCTGCTGTCTGGAGAAATTAGACTCTTGTTGAAAAGTACATATCATGACAACTTCTAGCTAGTATTTGTGAATGAAATTGTGTATAGTAGTAGATTGCTTTTACAATGTAAAAGAGGAATTGTCCAGCAATATAAAAGGCAGATGTGATAAAAAGTGTGCCTCTTTGCAGGTTAATAGGAATTGAATGGAATTCAAGAAATATAAATATGCAGGGTATTTAACATATTTTTAAAAGACTCATTCTTCTATCTTCAGAAAGCACAGTAGTGGTGACTTACATAGTCGACTGAAGACCAGAAAGTTACTTGGAGTTGGAGAAACAGATGATGGAGATGTTCATAGGTCAAAGGTAAATGACCTTCACCTTTTATACTTGTTTCAAAATGTTGTATTATAAAGATTTGATATGATTAATAGTGGAGGCATGGGCAAGTGGTTAACATGTCAGACTAGTGATCTAAGGATTGCTGGCCGCGTGGGTTCAAACCACGTCAGGAGCAAGCCATTGTTTCCTTGAGCAAGAATCTTTACATTCATTGCTTAGTACTGGTTGGTTCCAAGAACAGATTCAAGAATGTTTCAATACGCTTATAGCTTCCAACACAATCCTACTAAATAAATTCATATAAACTGTGATTAATGGTTTTCAGAAATGCTTTTGTAATATATTTATTATACTCTTAACACAAAATGCGAACGGGGCTTTACTGGAAGCACTTTGTCCAGTCCAAGTTATATGTTTGTTCTTTAACTCCTTTACTTCTTAAAGGATTTTCTTTAAACTTGGCTCATATGTTCACCTCAACAAGGCAATGTGTGCTGGCTCAAGGTCGAGGTCATTATCAAAATACCAGAAACTTGTGTCCATTCTTTAAATCCTTTATCCCTTGAAGGATTTTCTTCAAACATGGCTACAATGTTCCCCTCAAGAAAATGTGCAAACCACATGCCACCCTTGTGCCTGGTCAAGGTCTGTCAGACAATTTTGTGTCTACACTTTAAAATTCTTTACTTCTTGAAGGACCTTCTTCAAAATAAGCTTAATTGTCACCTTCATAAATAAAGATAAATGAACCTGTTATGGCAATAAATGATGGTATTGGCCACTTCTGTGGCAGCTCTAGTTTGAGTTTGAAAATGGAGGAAATTTATTGAAACATACAGTGATCAGTGTACTGGTGTCACATGAAGACATGATTACTCAAACAGGCTTTTTACCCATGGTCTATTATAATATTTAGAGACATCTTAATCTCTAGACATAACTGTATTTTTCCTTAACTTTATTCCTTCATCACTGTATTCCTCTTCAAACTGTACTGAAATCATGATTTGCCTGCTAGTCTAGACCGTTTTCAATTCTTGTGAGCAATTTAATGACACCAATGGCTCTCTTGTCTCATATCTTGCATTATCATCATGAAATCTTGTGGGAAGTTATATATCTCATGGTGAAAACACTAGACAATTGTTTATATTGAAGAATTTTAAAACGCCTTATTTCCCTGTTATTTATTTGACTTTAGCTGATCAGCTCTTTGAGTGCTTTGTAGCAACCCTGTTATTATACCCCCGCACAACGAAGTTGTAGGGGTATACTGGAATCAGCTTGTCTGTCCAGCCGTCCATCCGTCCGGCCGTCGGTTTTTCCTTGTCCGCCCAATTACTTAAGATTCCCTTGACCCACAGTCTTCATATTTAGCATGCAGGTTAGTCATGACTAGTAGATGATCCCTATTGATTTTGAGGTTGCTGGGTCAAAGGTCAAGGTCACAGGGGCCTTGACTAAAAAAAGCTTTGTCCGCCCAATAACTTAAGATTTCTTTGACCCATAGTCTTCATATTTGGCATGGAGGTTAGTCATGACTAGAAGATGACCCCTATTGACATTGAGGTTACTTGGTCAAAGGTCAAGGTCACAGGTGCCTTGACTAAAAAAAGCTAGTCCGCCCAATAACTTAAGATATCTTTGACCCATAGTCTTCAAATTTGGCCTGCAGGTTAGTCATGACTAATAGATGACCCCTATTGATTTTGAGGTTGCTGGGTCAAAGGTCAAGGTCACAGGGGCCTTAACTTAAAAAAGCTTGTCCGCCCAATAACTTAAGATTCCTTTGACCCACGGTCTTCATATTTGGCATGGAGGTAAGTCATGACTAGTAGATGACCCCTATTGATTTTCAGGTTGCTGGGTCAAAGGTCACAGGGACCTTGACTAAAAAAAAGCTTGTCTGCCCAATAACTTATAATTCCTTGACCCGCAGTGTTCATATTTGGCATGGAGGTTAGTCATGATTAGGAGATGACCCTTATTGATTTTGAGGTTGCTGGGTCAAAGGTCAAGGTCACAGGGGCCTTGACTAAAAAAAAAGCTTGTCCACCCAATAACTTAAGATTCCTTTGACCGACAGTCTTCATATTTGGCATGGAGGTTAGTCATGATTAGTAGATGACCCCTATTGATTTTGAGGTCACTGGATCAAAGGTCAAGGTCACAGGGACTTTGACTTCAAAAAATTGTCTGCCCAATAACTTTAGAAACCTTGACCCACAGTCTTCATATTTGGTATTGAGGTTGCTTATGACTAGTGGATGGCCCCTATTGATTTTTAGTTGACTGTGTCAAAGGTCAAGGTCACAGGGATTTTTACTATGATAAGTTTGCCTGCTCAAATGCTTAAGAATGCCTGTCCGCAGTTTATTGATTTTGACATTTTCAAATTTGAAGCATGTAGAATACATAACTTAGCAATGCACTGGCTTCAAGTAACCTCAGATTTGGCAGGGAGATTGTCCTTGAGCTCTAAATGGCCACTGTTGATTCTGACAAAGTGGTATGCGGGGTTATTCACGCCATGACAGTGGCAGTTCTAGTTATTTCTGTTATAGAGTAATGCCTGCCTGGTTATCTAGTATTATATTTTGAGATACATTTAGATCACAGTTCCAGTGCTCCAATAGAGCAAGACAACCTTGTTTCATACTCAAGCCTGCTATGTATGGATATGAAGTTTGGGGCTTCTCTACCTTGCTTGTTCTTATGATAATGATTTTGTATTACTGGTTATAGAAAACAAAATAAAACAGCAGTTTGTACTTGTTTGATTCACAATTTCATAGACGCTTTTCAATATAGCCCACTCATGTCAAAGATGATAAAATCCGCTCGCTTTGGCGCCTATCTCTACTGTTTATACACTAAACATGCCCATTTTGGGAACCATCTTGTCTCCAGTTAAAATAATAAATCATACTTTCACCTACAAGAGCATAACTGGTTCACATCAAGTTGTGTTTTATACCCTGCCTGCTTCCATTATATGCCCATAAACTCTTATTGTTTTAAAGTGTTTTTACTTCCAAACCATTTGGGTATAAATAATTATTACTGTAGGATATTATATTGCCTGTTAAAGCAAGCTGCTAAATTCTAATAACTGTCAGGCTGAATATAGTGGAATATTGAGAAAATCCACCAATATTGCATCCTTGCATGCTATAGAATATAAATTAGAATCTTACCACAAGTTTATGGCAGTCTCCGATCAGGGAGAATAAAGATTCGTTATGTAGATAGTGGCAGAAGTACATGCAGTTCCCTCCTAAATTTGTATAATGCACTTGTCCTGCTTTGAAATTGGAACTGTGCATATTATATACACAGGTTTGTTTAGGTTGAATGGTTGATTTTTTTGCCAGTTATGGCTATCATGAGGCGACATATGCGATCACTGATCCCTCTTGTATTTTATTGATGTCACTAATGTATATTCTGTATTGGAATGGCTTGTAATTTGTTGTAACATCATAGACCTTGCCCAAGTGCTCGGTCAGGGTGATGTGTGAATACTTATTTATTAATATACAAGAAAAGCATTGATGCAAGAAATGCAGCAAGTGTAGATGAACTAGTAGACATCTTATAACCAGATATTCTTTTAAACTTTTCAATGGTTAATTGGTTTTTACCAGAATTGTATAATATTTATGAATTGGCGGACGAAAGACATTGTTCATCATGAACTTTGGTTGGCGTGCTAGAGATTAGAATATTATTATACCCCCAAAAACGAAGTTTGGGAGGGGGGGGGTATATAGGAGTCACCCAGTGGTCGGTCGGTTGGAAAAGTAACAAAGGGCAAGAACTCTGAAATTACTTTAAATAAAGTTATGATTCTTGTGCACTGCACTTCCCCTTATTGTGCTTGACCATTGTATGAAGTTGCTTTGAATTCCAACCAGTAGTTTTCAAGTTATGCTCCGGAAAAGGAAAAGTAACAAAGGGCAATAACTCTGTAATTAGTGAAGATAGAGTTATGGTTCTTATGCACTGCACTTCCTCTCAATGTGCTTGACCATTGTATGAAGTTATATTGAATTCCAACTTTTAGTCTTCAAGTTATGTTTCGGACAAAGAAATTTTAAAGAATAAGGTGGAAGGGGCAGGAGTGAAACAGGGTTTGAATGGGTTGCTGAATCCTTACAATTATTTTGTTGTAAAAAAAATGGGGACAAACACAAAAGACAATGCTTTTTAATACAATTTAGTCTCCCAAATACAGATTCATGGGAAAATAAAAGAAAACTTGCTCCTTTTAATCCTGAATGATATATAAGGTTCACTTCCAGACTGGTTTAGACATTTTGCCTAGAACAGAAATTTAGTAAGCTGAAGTCCATATCTCAGCTGAGGTCTAGATCTCGTTATATACAAGCTTTAAAAAAAGTTCTTATACTAGCTAAATGTCTTAGTTTTTTTAACTACATTATATAACCAGAGACAGACAATTTAGGGGATAGGTTTAGGTTTCTTTTCTATATTAAACAAGAGATGCAGTTACACATGTACACTGTAGGCAATAGAGCAGGTGCTGGCAGGCAAAACGTAAATGATGTCAATATGCTGCCATTTCGATAATTATTATGCAATTCGTAATAAATTGGGAATAAATTACAGTAAAAACTTAACAATTTGTGACAGATGTATTTTGTGACAAATTTGCACTATTGTATTTTGATTGTATTTTCTATGCTTTAACCATTGTTACAATTTTCTGTTATTGTATTTATGGGAAAAAATGATTTAAAATGAAGCATTTAAGAATGTTTCTTATGAAACACAGATGAATCATGACAGAGGGTTCAAATCCCACCAGCTATATTCACTTATAGAAAAACATCTGGAAGAAGGTGTCTCTTGGAATCATTAATCACAACAAAATACATGTAACATGAAAATTGCGGACTCGGTTTGATTGAGTCTGTACATGAGGGATAATGAAAAAGTGCAACATCCAACAATTAGATGGGTTGTTCTTTTCAGGGGCTGCTTGTGACTAAAATTTTGCACAAAAGGGGCATCTGAGGTGTGGCGTAACCCATGACTTGTGTATTTGCCCTCAGCTTTGAAGATTGAATAATCTATTCAAAATAAAAATATTGAGCTACCAGCATTATATAACCTGGTACGACTTCAAATATAAAGTATCACCTTATAGCATGTTGTATGTTAAAAATGCAAACATAAATGACTATTTTTGTATATTTTCAGCTCAGTCAAATATTGGGTCACAGTGATCAGTTGTATATCAGGTTACCGAGTGGCCTCAGATTCTGGCAGATTATCCTAGCTGTTGTTTTCTCAATTTTATCTCTATGGGTAAGTAATTTATGATATCAAGACATGCAGGCATATAAGCCATATTAGCATAACTATTTCATATCAGTTTGGGCATCCATGGCTGAATTGTTAAGGTTGTTGAGTTCAAACAACATCCGTCTCATGGCTGTGGGTTTAAATCCTAAAAGGGACTTTGAATCCTTTCATGCAAGGAAGTTGATTAGCCAGCTTACAAAATTTCAATGATAAATACTGGTTAGTTCCAGGAAGTGAACACAAAAGTTGTTCAATAACCTTTAATTATTCATCACAATTGAGCCCAAAAACACTAAACCTACTTAAATGGCCAGCTTTCCCCTTGTGGCTGAGGGGTTGCCTTTACAAGTTAAAGTATCAGAATTGCAGCCACTGTCTATCCCTGTGTGGACATAAAAGGTGACTAAATGGGTTCAAAGTATTGGAGTCTCAGCATTTCTTAGCTCACACAAGTGAGGTGGTTTTGACCCCAGGTGTTGCTTTGAAGTTTGTAACACCCAAGAATAGTTCATGTTTTGGCGCCATGTTGACATTAACTGTGTTGGTGCGCTGTAAAACCAAACAAACAAACAAATAAATCACCGGTTTCATTCTTCCTAGGTGAAATGAAGCAGGAAATATTTGAGACTATATTTTAATATAGACCACAAGTCCAGGTATTCATCAACAGTATTTAGTGGTGTTCAACCTTAAACATATTTCCTGTATAAGGTGCTAAATATCTCCATAGTTAATTACTCTATACATAAATCACTGGAAAATCCCATCTTGACTGACAATCACTTTACAAATCTCATTGAGTCTAAAGCTGGGATCATGGGAAGAAAATCTTCTTAGATAGGAGAAATATTAGACACCATTGATTGTTGGACATTAGCAGGGAGAATGTACATAATGTTGTGGTTAATTTCCGCTCCCACGTGGTTATCCTGGTGATGGGGATAAATACTCACGACAGGTAATAAGAAAGTTGAGCACAAAATATGAACTGACAACAGTGTATATAAACCAAGAACATTGAATTGTTTTTGATACTGTTTATTTATATAAGGAGACAAAACAAATTTCCTTAAAAGGTACATGTAAGATGTTACTCTGATCTATGGCTATTTCCAGGTCTAGACTCTATAAGTTGACGCCAAAAGATTACCCTTTATGTTTGCCTTCCTCTAAGAGCCTTAAAGAAAATTCATGCGCATTTATTTCTAGTTCCGGTCTTGAGTTAAGAAACTTTGGTTGAAAAAACATCATTTAATTGCTTGCATGTCACGTAAGGAAGCTCAGGATTGTCATTAAGATGCGGCTATAGGCCAAAATGATCCTCTCGGATACGTTTAAGGCTGCATCAAAACTTAGAAAACACTCATGTTGCACTGTGAAAAAAAAAAAAAGTAACAGCATCAAATTTAAAAACGGACCATCTTAGACAAACCCTGTTATATAAGGGTGTATTGCTACACTGTCTTTACTAAATAAACTTAATAATATAAAACACGAATATTACATCCTGTTGGCAATAAGTCCCAAATAGGCAAATGACACAGTCCATTTTCCTTCATATTACTTGAATAGATTTTTTTATAGAGACAGGAAAATGTGTCGTCTGCTCCCTAATGATAGTATTTATCCTTCTATAGCTCTTCTTCTATTTCATCTCATTATATGACCAATATTTTGTGAAGAAGAATGTAATAGATAGGACATTGTGTGGTATAAATATTTATAACTGCAAATCGGCTCTTACTCGGCAGTAATTAGTGTAGCCGCTATTTCATGAAGAAACCAGTGCTGATATTGAAAATTGTGATTGGCATATTTTAATTAGCCAGGTCAGGTGTTTCTTAAAAGGTTGATAACACTGTAGCAATGTGAGGAAACATTCAAATTTATTACATAGATAATGCAGGTGGAGCTCAGCTCGCAGCACAGTAACATTTTGATATCCTTTAAACTCTATGAAAAATGTTAATTATTAATTGCTGACTGTTTTATATTTTCTAGAAAAAGTAAGCAAAACATCATTTTGTTTCATATGACAGGAATTGAATTGCATTAACAATCCTAGATATTGTTGAAAACTCATTGTTTTACATGCCAGATTAAGTAATTGGACCCCATCCTTGTTTGTACGTGACTGCTGGGGAAAAATAATGTAATGCTTAATTAAAGAGGTCACACTTTCTATATTTTTATCTGATATCAAGTTGTAAGAGCCGATTTGCAGTTATATGGGTAAGAGTTCGATAAGACTCCCTACGGTCGTCTTAATACGAACTCTTACCCATACATAACATAAAAAATGACAAAGTTTGAACCCAGACAGTTACCTTGACCTTAGTCGTAGGAACCCAAGTCTTGTTTGTGACACACCATACATCTATGGTTATTTCATATATGAAAGAAAAATTAAAATCCTTTCATTAAGAACATACACGACCACCACTGTCTATATGTATGAAGCCGAAAGGACTGACAGACGGACGGTTCGATTTTAATATGCCACCCTTTGGGGGCATAATAAACATCTGAGTTCAAAGGGGAAATAATTCTCGAAATATTCATGCTAGAGTTATGAATATTGTCACACATGTATAAGGAACATATATTTTAAATAGATACCTTAAGAAATAAAGAAGTAAGTAAAAAGTAAAATTTTTTTAGGAAAAAAATGAGTTCACGGGGAAATATTCTTAAAAAATATTGGTGCTTAAGTGAACAACATTGTCACATATGATGTAGTTGTTGGTAAGGAACACATATTTGAAGTTTTAAGTCAATCCCTTATGATGAAATGAAGATGTAGAGTAAAAAATAACATTATTTTATGGAAAATTATATGTTCAAAGGGAAATTGTTCTGTAAATACTTGTTCACCTTATCACATGATGTGTATGATGATAAGGAATACATGTGTACATACAGATGTATAATGAAAATTAATGACCCTTCGGGGCGGGGCCAATTTTTACCACAGGGATTTGATTTGAACAAACTTGATAGACACTCAGTATAAGATGTCTCATGCCAAATATCTAAGCTCTAGCTCTTTGGATTTTTTAAAAGAAGAGTTTATAAGTTTTTTTTGGTTGCTATGGCAACCAAAGTTCTGCATGGGATTTTATTCTTTGAACACCTTTGGCAGAGCTTTATGCAAGGTACACTCCTGCAAAGATTCAACAAATTTGGCTAAGAGGTTTAGGAGAAGAAGTTGTTTAAATAAATTTTTGACGCACGGACATTGTCCTCAGATGAGCTAATAAAAAATAAAAGAGAGATAAAATATTTACTGCACATAGGCATTTATCTAAAGTATGTACGCTGGTGCCAACTTACTAACCGAGGTTAGTAGGGCAGCTCTACATATACTTTATATAGTCGAGCTAATAATACAAATATCACTTACCTGGTCACTTAGTTAAGTCTTGCACTTTGCAGTAAAAAATTACAAACAATGTTTTTTTGGCTTTTGTTTTTTAGCGGTTTTTTTGTGTTTTTTTTTTTTGTGTTTTTGGAGGGGGGGGAGGGGGGCATGAGTAACAGGGACACTTAACTATGAAAGTTTATCAATTAAGAAGATGATTATCACTTATAAAGGTATATCCCTACACATAATTCATTCAGTAGCTAAAATTTATCTTGTGATATACAAATAATTCAAATAATTGCTAAGTCTCACAATTCACTTGGGCCGCAGACCCAGAGAAAAAAAAACATTGATAAAAAGTGAGTGTATCTTTAGAAATTTGATCCTTCAACGTTAGGGCCATTAGATAAGAACACAGAGGACCAATTAATGATGACAAGACTCTCAACTCAGTGGACGTGTTAATGGGAGATATACAGTTAATAGTGATTTACTAGCTGATAAGCCCTTACTGAGATTCAGCAGGCTGGAAGGGTTTATGCGTAGGACTGGATACATTTCCACCATAGTGAAATGATGAGATTAATTTTTTCTATACCAAGTTTTATATATCATATATGATATATCATATATGAAATATAGTTGATTGCAGAATTCTCTTGTGATTGCAATGAATATGTTTGGAAAAAATAATATTCAAAGACCGATATGGCTTAAGCTAGTAACAAGATTGGCAATGCGGCTTTATGCCCAGTATGTTTTTACTTAAAACGTTGGAAAGTTTGGGGTTTTTTAGCTCGACTATTCGAAGAATATGAGAGCTATTGTAGTCGCCCCGGCGTCCGCGTCGGCGTCTGCGTTGGATAACTCTGCCTACAATATTGACAGAATAATGCCCCTTTTTAACTTAGAAATTTTGGTTAAAGTTTTTTGTAAAGTCAAATATCTCAATTATTGCTTGAGATATTCAATTGAAACTTACAAATTTACTTATTTATAGTAACAATGTAACATCAGATTGACAAGTTGGATAAAACTCTGCCTACCATATTGACAGAATTATGCCCCCTTTGGAACTTAGAAATTTTGGTTAAAAGTTTTTTGTAAAGTCAAAATACTACAAATTATTGCTTGAGATATTCAATTGAAATTTAAAATACTTTTATTTAAGGTAACAAGTGTACATGCAAGTTTGCTAAAAATTGCAATAACTGTCTGCAATATTTGCAGAATTATTTTGCCCCTTTGAAACTTAGAAATTTTTGGTTAAGGTTTAACGGTCTTCAAGACGTATTTACTTGAAACTTTACACATGCACTTAGGGTCATAATTGGACGGGTCATAATTGTATGTCACTGACCAAGTTCCATAACTCTATGTTGCATTTAAGGGCTGATTTATACCCCTTTTCTACCTTAGTTTTTCTTGGTTAATGTTTACATGCAAGTTTTACATATCTCAATAATATATATAAGATATTTATTTAAAACTTCACATATGCATTTTAGGGTCATAATTGTAGGTCACTGACAAAGATCCATTAATTCTATCTTGCATTTTAGGCTGATTTTTCTCCCCTTTTTTCACTTAGAAAATTCATGGTACAGTTTTGCTTGTAAGCTGTTATCTCAATAACTACTGAAGGGTTTTGTGCCTTTTTTGGGACAATTTTATGCATTC